TTCCTGTTTTTTGTTACAGTATTTCAAGGAAAATCCAGATTGCAACAATCCTGCTTACAATACAAAGAATGGAGTTTACACTGAAGGGTGTGGACTAGACAATGTAGTGATATCATGGGGACATGATGACTACATGTATTTGGTACGTATTTTTTAGTTTCCTTATCCATCAGGACTTGACGTTTGGAAGGGGGATTCGTGCCATGATTCGAATCATGGTTCGTAGTTCGTTACAGTATTTTCTTTCACAAAAAACACACGTAAAATGAGAATTGTTCTTAATCATAATTTTGAATACATGAACCAAACGTCTAAAAACCTCTCGAAATTTGTAACAGACTGATCAAGTTAATTGGTGCTTTCATTCGATTCCACAGGTGGCCAAGGAAAATAGAACAACATTGCCTTCGGCTGCATTGTTCATTATCCGATACCATTCGTTCTACCGTAAGCATCATTATCTCTTCTCTGACTATGAATTTGTTATTGTTATGGTTAGTCTGAACACTACTAACATTATAGTCCATAATATTGCGCAGCTTTACATAGATCAGGAGCATATAAACATCTCATGAACAAGGAGGATGAAGAGAACTTGAAGTGGCTTAAGATATTCAAGTAAGCATAAGGCCCCGTTTATTTTACCGATTCGAGTTTAAAATTTGAGTTTTACTACAGTAAAAAGTTTTCAGAAACAGTCACATTTAACTTTTTTACTACAGTAAACAGCTCTCACATAAAATCACATATCAATTCGAATTAAAAACTCGAATCAGTGAATTAAACGGGCCCTAAATACATACCAAGTCACTAATAAGTTTTTTTTTTAACTTGAATTGTATTGTTATGTATATAGTTATGCTATAATGGATCAACCAAACTGAGTAAAAATGTACTTTTATGTGCAGCAAATATGACCTCTACAGCAAGAGCAAAGTTAGAGTAGATGTAGAGAAGGTCAAGCCTTACTATTTGTCCCTAATTGAAAAGGTGAGAAACGTTTTTTTTTTCCCTCATTTTTTTTGGTATATGGGTATTTCATGAATTTACACTTTTTTTGTTTTTTTTGTTTTTTCTAAATACAATGACTTTTGGTGCAGTATTTCCCAGCAAAGCTCAAATGGTAAAACACAAGCCTGGAGAGTGGAGAGGATTTTCACCATACTTGATTTGAAGATAATTGATCCTTCGACTTTGATTCAAGCCTTTCATTTGCTTACTGATACACAAAAATCAAATTGTTTTTTTTTTTTTTTTTTTTACCCTTTAAATGTATGCTTTTGTCACAGAAATGTATTCTTCCATTCAGAAATTCCACTATGTCCAAATTTCTTTGGGCTATCGACAAGTTTTTCCTAATTTAGAAATTCCACTATGTCCAAATTTCTTTGGGCTATCGACAAGTTTTTCCTTTTGTAATTTATGTGTTTGAAGTGTAATTAGAAGTCTTTCTAGCCAAAACAAAAAAAAAAGACTTCAAAAAGTTCAAAATATTACAAAAAAATAAAATTATGCTGTCGATTTTTTTTTATTTTAAATGACTGCCGATTTTTCGATGACATTGAAACAATCAATAAAATGAAAGTCCATGCTCCTTACTCGGTTTCCATTGAAAACGACAACAATACTAAACTAAGCCAATAAAGCCATTCAGTAGTTCTGAAATAGTAGCCCAAGTGGTCAAGTATAATTCAGATTTTGAGAGTTCCAATGACAAGTAACGTTACCTTCTCCATGATCCAATGCAGTTTTTTTTTTAATTTTCAAAAATGCCATTAATAAATTAACATTATTTTATTTCTACCTTATTGTTAAATTTATCTTATATAATTAATAATTTTTAAGTTATTTTTATAATATGTAGGTTATCTTTTCATAATATGCTTTTCGTAATCTGTATGTTATATGTTTATATCTTACAAGTTATTTTTTATAGTGCATTAAAATTTTATATAATGACATAAATAATAGAGTTAAAAAAAATAATAATTAAACTTAAAATTTTCTCATTCTTTTTTCTTTCGTATATAAAAAAAAAAACAATAACAATAATTTGGGTCCCCCATTTACTTTTGGGCCGAGGGTCCACAACCCAAAAACCAAGCCCATACTTTAAAAATAGGTACAAGTATTGCCATTTCCTCCCACCTGCACCAATTAAGTTATTAAACGAAAAGCTAAAAAGATAAAATAGAAATAGTAGAAAATAAACCAATATGAAAAGTTTAAAAAAGTATATAGGTCATAATTTGTTAAGTTATGGTTTATAACTAGATAAATTATGGACAAACTTATCAAATTATGGTTCATAGTGAGACAAGTTATGGATAAAAATCGTAAATTATGGACAATAACTTGTCAAGTTATGGTTCATAACCGGACAAGTTATTGACGAAAACAGTAATTTGACCTATTTATTAACTTATGTAAACTATTGGTCTATTAATTTTAATTCATTTCAAGTCTTGACCTATTTCCATTTTTCTCTCAAATATAAGGCATGATAAATATTCTTTAAAAGTTAATGAGTCATGATTTTTATCTTAAATTCTTAAATCATAAATTTTTTAATTAAATAATTATATTAATAAAAGAGTATTTATCAAAAATAAAAGATTAATAAAGGTTTAAATTCTGCACTCGAGTATAAATTCTTTATTTTTTCAAAACTATCAAAGTATATTAGTTTTGTGAAAGGCTTTGGAGTTTCATCTTCCGTAGTAAGTTTGATAATGTGGTGAAGTGGACTCCTCATATACTCCTCATATTGAGTCTCGCTGATTTAAGTTTAGAATTTGAGTTGAGATGTGATTGTATGTAAGAGCTTTTTACTGTAGTAAAAAAGTTAGATGTGATTGTTTATGAGAACTTTTTTCCGTAACAAAACTCAAATTCTAAATTCGAATCAGCGAAACAAACGAGGCTCTTTACTCTATTATCACATTATGTCATGTAATTGTACGGTGATGTAAGTTTGATAAGGAAAAAAAAAAGTCTACATCTAATTTATCATTATCATTATCTTCCTCTACTAAACTACACGAAAAAAAAAACGACAAACTTTGTTGTTGCAATGATATTGGCTCTCTGTTTTTTTTTAATATTTAGATTACCCCATTGTTCCATACTTTCAAAACTCCTTTGGCAATAACAACTTTTAAACATTTTCCTTTTCTTGTCCGGATTCGAATTCCAAATAAAAATTTAAAAAATAATCAAATATTATATGTCCATTGGGGAGAAAATGATTTTTTATTTATTTATAGATACGAGACATAACTTGTAATGATGTTTTTATCATTTATTAAGGAGAAAATTTCAAATCTAACCACTGTTTTCTCTAATTCTATTATTTATGCCACAATACACAATTTTAATGTTATTATAAAAAATAATATGCAAATTATAAAAAATAACCAGCATATTACACAAAAAATATATTAAGAAAATATAACTTACAAGTTATTAGTAAACAAATTTACAAAAATAGTAGAAATAAAACAGTGTTATTTTAATAATAGCATTTTTAATTTTCTCTCTATTAACTCTTATCATTTATTAACCACTCAAAATCAGTTACAAAATCGCAACCACTCACATAAAAAATGTTACCTCTAGAATGATATTATCTCAATACTCATATATTTAACGGATTGATAGTATTGTTAAATTAAAAACAGATGCTAACATCAAGTTTAAAAATTATTATTTATGTCATCATCAGCATTATTATTATTTTTTAAAGGAGAAATAGAGTCAATTTCAAAGCAGTGTGGTGATTGGGCCTTAATTCAGACCATAATAGTTTCGGCCCAATAACGTTCTTCCCCAGCTTTCTGTTTCTTCTTCCTTCCCTCTCTGCTATTTTTCCGCTTCACGCCACGGTCACATTTGATTTGATAAAGTTCACTCACCAGTCACCACCATTTCCATTATTCTCTTTCACGAAGATTCATCCGTTATCCAATGGAATTCCCAAAGCCAAGAATTGGATTATTTTCTTCATATTTTCTCGCTTGAATTTCTCATTCGAAGTTTCAAATCTCTAATCGAAAGAATCTTCATTGGATTGGAAGTTTTTCTTTCTTCTTTTTCTTTTTTTATTGAACCCTAGATTGAATTCAAGAACTGAATTTGTGATGAGTTTCAGCTTTCTGGAATGGCCGCTCAAGTTCTCGCCTTGTGCATTCTCAAAATGTTGGCGGTTTTAGCTGCGATCTCTTCTCTAGGCGTAGCCGATTTCAGCGACGACGAGTTCTCGATTGCCGGCTTCGAATTCGACGCGCTCCGAGGAGATTACACGCCTCCGGCGCCGCCGCCGCCGTCTCCGCCGCCTCACCCGCCGTCGGTGTCCTGCGACGACGGCCTCGGAGGAATTGGCTCGCTCGACACGTTGTGCGAGCTCAATTCGAGTCTGAGCTTCGAGGACGATGTGTATATAGAGGGAAATGGAAGTTTGTACATTCTTCCCAGCGTTACTTTGAGCTGTCCGTTGTTAGGTTGCTCAATTTTGATAAACGTCAGCGGAGATTTTAGTTTGGGTAGGAATTCGACGATCATCGCCGGTTTGGTCTTTTTGAGCGCTAGGGCTGCGAATTTCTCGGATGGATCGTTGATTAACGCCACCGGATTGGCCGGTGAGCCGCCGGCGGAGACGAGTGGCACGCCGAGCGGTCTCCAGGGCGGCGGTGGAGGCCATGGCGGGAGAGGCGCGAGCTGTGTGACGGACAACACGAAGCTTCCGGATGACGTTTGGGGTGGCGATGCGTATTCGTGGTTGTCGTTGGACAAGCCTGCAAGTTATGGGAGTAGGGGAGGTTCGACGAGCAAAGAGGTGGAGTATGGCGGGGAAGGTGGCGGGAGGATTTGGGTGGAGGTGGACGGAACGGTTGATGTCTGTGGGAGTGTTCTAGCGGACGGTGGCTACGGCGGTCTCAAGGGTGGTGGAGGGTCTGGAGGCAGCATATACATCAAAGCTCATAGAATGTAATTGCTAATTATCTCTCCTATTGTTGTTTGTTTAACTTAATAATGGTGTCCTACTAATGATTAATCAAAATAATTTGTCATTGATTATGATGGTCTTCAATTGGTGTTGTTGCCTGTTGGATTGGTTATCACCTTACCCTTTTTGATTATTTGGTGTGCTCTAACTATGGTTGGTGCCTATTTGCTGATTTTTGCTGCTCTGAGGTCCCCACGTTAGCCGGGCCAACTCTGAGTAGTAATACTTTGTTAACTTTATTGCTGATATGTGGTTTGGGAAGTCTATGATTCATATTATGGATCGTAAGTTTAGTGTGGGTGCGGATTTGGAGTATAGAACGAGAGGATGTAATGTACAAGTGTGTTTGATTCATCTCGGCTAGTTAAAAGATTGGGAGAAGTAAAATTTATAGACTTAATGGGAATATAGAGAGCTGTAATTGATACGGTTGATTCTCAATCTAAAAGTTGTATTCGGAATTGCAATAGTTTATAGATTTCTTTGATAGTTTGTTCATGTGAAGAAATTTGATGAAAGGAGTGTTATCTTGATTCCTTGAAGTTAGGGCTCTATGTGTCGATTGGAAGTCCAAATAGAATGATGGGAAATTATGGGAGATAATAACATGGCTTTAAATTGGATGGACTTGTGTGATTTAAATTATTACTCTTCATGGTTATCTTTGAAAGTTATGCAAAGTTTTTAATTCTCGTGGAGGACAGGACTGGAAGTGGCAGGATAAGTGCAGCAGGGGGAGATGGATTTGCTGGAGGTGGGGGCGGAAGAGTTTCCATCAATGTTTTCAGCAGGCATGACAATACACAATTCTTTGTACATGGTAAGACTAACGTTTTTATGTTTTAAAGAATCTTATTCTTTATCTGCTAGCTAAATTTGCCTTCAGTGATGGTGGAAAATTTGTATTTGAAAAAACTTTTGCCACTCCATTGGTGCAATTCCCCTGCTATGCTAGTTGGCTAGTTGCATGGTCACATTTGTCAAAAAAAAAAGAAAAAAAAAACAGTTTTTTTAAGCCGAAATCATCACGCGTTGGGGAAATTGGGATTTTTTGGGCAGTCCCTAGTAGCGTTGTGGAGGTTTTTGGCTGTGACTTTTTGTTTGGAGGGAACAATATTACAAGGAGGCTGTGGAATGTTGTTGCCTTATTGTCACGCGGGCTTTGTGGCTAGAAAGGAACAGCCGAATTTTTTGGGACGTACAAGGAAATAGTTGTGAAGTTTTGGGATAGAGTTAAATACTGGCTTGCATTATGGATTTCAGATGCCGTACACTTGAGTGGCAAAGGAAAGCGAGATCGTACCTGTTTTTCCAGGCCTGTTCGGACATACGGTTCCCGTGGAAGATCAAGTTGGTGAGCTGTGTGATGGGAAACCTTCCTGCACGGTTCGGAGAGCACTGAATTCAAGTAGTAATGACAGATCACAGCTATATTCTTATATTTACCACCTGCTCATATACTGGCTTGCGTTATGGATTTTTCAAACTAAAGGCTTCACTTGTTTTCATTTTCAGATTTGTTAAGGGGCTGGGATGTTATATAGTTATATTGCGTTGAGTAGGGGTCTATGATTACTGTGTAAGGGCCCGGGTTTTGTTTCATGTTTTCATGTTTATTTTTGTAAACTCAACTCCTTGTATATTGCGTTGAGTAGGGGTCTATAATATAAAAACATTATTGTCATATTTGTTCTGTTTTTTTTTTTTAGGGGGACGGAGTTTAGGCTGCACTGAAAACTCAGGTGCTGCTGGGACATATTATGATGCTGTACCTCGAAGCCTTACTGTCAGCAATCACAACATGTCCACACAGACTGACACACTTATGTGGGAATTTCCTAAGCAGCCACTTTGGACTAATGTTTATATTCGAGATCATGCGAAGGCTTTGGTTCCTCTGTACTGGAGCCGTGTTCAGGTTGTTCAAAAGCTGAAATCTTTGTGCTCTGGCTTGACTGTATTTTTTGTTTACAAGATCTTTTTTTGCTAGTTGGAATCGTAATTATTCTTTTGCATTATCTTTCCTTTTATGGGTATTTTGTTCGGTTTTGTTCTTGCTTCCCTTATATTATTCATGGTCTCTATCTGTATTGGTATTTGTTTGTGTTAAATGGTAAGCCAGTCATTCTGTTATAAACTTGGTGGTTCAATTGAAGCCTGGCAGTTTGAGTTGGTTGCGAAAATTCACTACGTAACAAGAAATTAGGATTAAAGTACTCCACGGTCGGTTAAATATTCCAAGATGCTGATAAGACTTTCTAAACTTTTTAACTAATAGTTCTAACCATCATGAGGCTACCTGCAGCTCTAACAATTTTTTTATGTGAAGATAAGTCTTTTAATATATTACTACAAAAAGAACTTGGGAGGGTTAGGTTAGACATTTTAAAGTCAGACAATATAATATCCATACTTCAGAGCTATTTTTTTTTTTTAGTTTTGATAAAATCTTGTTCTTATATTATGGTTTGTGTTTAGGATTTAAATTATTAATTCATTTTACAGGTACAAGGACAAATTCACTTGTCATGTGGTGCAACTTTGAGTTTCGGGCTTGCACATTATTCTTCGTCGGAGTTTGAGTTAATGGCAGAAGAGCTTTTGATGAGTGACTCCGTTGTTAAGGCAAGTGGTTGGGCTTTGCGTATTTCGTTTTTGCTCTCTCTCTCTCTCTCTCTCTGAATAGTCTATCTACCTCTTGGTGGAGCCTGCTTTTTATCTATTTGTTGCATAGATAACCTGTCAGGATATTTTTAGGAACCCATTAGGTAGAACTCACCCTTGCAAAACTGGCTTGCAAGGGGAGGGGATCCAAGGGCTTATAGACCAACTAATCATCTTATAGTTATTCCAAGAAATTATAATTTTTTGGTTGAGCTAGGAGCCTAAGCTTTAATAGATTGGTGTTTAGTCCATTAATGCACACTTTGAGATCCGCTCCCCCGCCCTTCCCCCAATTCCTTAAATTATCTTGTTGCAGTTGGAACTGCGCCTATGCGTTTGTATAGCCGGTCCCAAGCCGGGGATTAAGGCTTGTTGTTGTTGTTGTTGTTGTTGTATCTTGTTGCAGTTGGCTGTCTGAAAGACTACGTTTCAGATAACTCGAGTATCCTAAAGCTGTTATTTTAGCACTCGTCTTTCTTATATTAATAATTAGCCCCTATTATTTTGTTTTAGGACAATGCTACCGTGAATTTTTCGGCGCGTTTGGAACTCGTTTCAAAATGATTTTGTTTTTTGTATGAAAATGAAAATGAAAACGTTTTCAATCTCAGGCAGAAATTATTTTTGAAAATGCGTTTGGTAGTTTTATCAAGAGATTGTTTTCAGTGTAAAAAAAACCCATTAATGTCTCTCTTTCTCTCTCTTTGCTCCAGAGAGGAGAAAATGAAAACAAAAAATGAAAAACGATTAAAAGTCGTTTTTCATTTCTCTCTCATTTTACACTAAACCAAAAAATCGTTTTCATTTCCCTTTTTTGTCTTTATTGCGCCAAATGCTGTTTTGAAAACGTTTTCATTTTTTCTTTCTCGAAAAACGTGAAAAACAAAAAGGGGATCAATTCCAAACATGGCCAAAGCATTCTCAGTCTAGAAACCACCAAGCTCACCTTGCTACGAAAGTGTGTGATAGGATTAGTAAATGTTCTGACTTCCCCAAATTTTAAATCTCGTTGCATATTTCATATCTTATACTTTGCAATTTGCCACAAGGGTTTTATATCTTTTTTGTTTTGTTTTTTTTTTTAAAGTTCTGCAAATAACCTACCCTTAATTTCTACATTAGTTGCTTTAGACTACAGTAATTTTTTTCACCTCTTGCTATGATGATATGATCTCTTACTTTTTTCTTTTTCTTTTTGCCTCCTTTAAGTGGTGTTATTCTTAATTGTTTTCTAATTAGATGATGTAGGACCAAGATAGATTAAAGAAAGAGAGAAAGATTAGAGAAATAGAATCAGATTTGAGAAGAAGAGAGAAAAAATAGAGAGGAAACTTGTATATTAAACAATAATCATCAAGGCGCCAAGTGAAATATAGTTACTAGCTTTATTTTTAGATGCATAAAAAACCCAATAACATGATAAGCATAACCAAATAAAATAACTGAAGGTTTTGAAGGGAAAAACTTCCTTTTTTCCTTATTATTATTAGTGTAACGTAAACCTAATTTATAGGATACCAAGTACCCTTGACAACTCATAGAAATTCAAATAAGCTCTTATCTTATCTAAATCTATCTAGATCCGGTGTTTATCTAGAAAAACCGGAATTCCCTATCTCCTAGGATCCTAATCCCAAACTAAGGGATTTGGCTCTTTAATTCAAAAACTGAAAAGATAAAATCTTCTAATTTCCTACAATAACTTATATAAAATCATCCTGATAGATAAATACATATTTACAATTCCTAATTATTTATATCTTGTTCCTTATCACACGGTTCTCTCTTTTGCATTTGCAACAGTTTCATCCATTTTTGTTTACTTTTCTTCATTTATTAGATGCTTACCTGTTATTGCCATTTGAGATTTTGATTATAGTTATGCTACTACTCTATAATAAATTCAGATATTTGGAGCTCTTCGCATGTCTGTAAAAATATACTTGATGTGGAAGTCCAAAATGCTTATAGATGGTGGTAGTGATGCAATTGTTGCAACGTCCTTTCTTGAAGCGAGCAATATAGTGGTTCTCAAAGTATGTCCTCTTCCACGTATTACTCAGTAACAACGAGGTCTTCATTAATCTTGTTTTCATGTCTGACATTCATGTTTCTGGATTTGATTATCAGGAATCGTCTGTGATACAGTCTACCACTAATTTAGGAGTTCATGGACAAGGTTTCTTGAATTTATCTGGACCAGGGAATTTGATTGAAGCGCAACGCCTGGTTCTTTCACTATTTTTTAGTATCAATGTAAGCTGAGAGCTCATCATTTAATTTTGCATCTTTTAATAAAAAATGTTAACTCAGGAACTTTATGTGCAACTTTTTTTTTCCCCATATGTTACCGAATACTCCCTATTAGAGCACTATGGGTGTTATTTTTTCTTGCTTCATAAGACTGTACTTTTTGACGGATGATTGCCTTTACATGTGTCTCATTACTGTTGAAGAATCACTGTTGAGCTGACAATAAAAGCGTTTAATGCTATATATTATGCTGTGTGAAATTTACTACTTGAGAAATTGAAAGCATTGAAGTATATACTGTGTACTCCATTTAATTAAGGCTGGATCACTTGCTAGAAGATTGTACAGACCTCTATCTGAATCAGTCTTTATCTTAAGCATACGTTGTTGAAGACATCTTTAACTATATAATCTACACGGGTGCTACTCACACACACACATTCAAACATACATTGCTTCAATGAGATTTTATCTTTTTGCACTACTAGACAGGCATATGCTGAATCTTCTCCTTGTAATGTGAAGGTTGGTCTTGGATCTTTTCTTCGAGGTCCGTTGGAGAGTGCTAATAGCAATTATATGTAAGTTAAAATCAATTAGTTTTTGTACTTCCATATCTTTGCTGGAATGTAACTTTGGGAATTGTAGGACGCCACGGCTCTACTGCCATCTCCCAGATTGTCCTGTTGAATTAATTCATCCACCTGAAGACTGTAATGTGAACTCTACGTTAGCCTTTACTATTCAGGTCTGCCATCTATCCGGGGAAAACTTACTTATTTCGGTGAGGTTGGTTCACAATTCTTTGCCCTTTGTGTTCCTAACAATTTGTTGGGGGTGTTTGCTGCTCCAGATTTGCCGAGTGGAAGTTGTTGCTGTTGAAGGTACCATAACAGGATCTGTTATTCATTTCCACTTGGTTAGAGCAATGATCATCCCTTCGTCTGGATTGATTAGTGCATCTGGGCTGGGTATGGCTTCTGCTGCATCTTTGTTAGAGAATTTTTACATGTTAAGGAATTTGCAAAGTTTATAAGGATTTGTATTGCAACCCATCTGGACTATCTTCAGGTTGCTATGGCGGAGTAGGCAGAGGGAAAATGTTTGAAAATGGTCTTGCTGGTGGTGGTGGGCATGGTGGAAAAGGCGGAGATGGATATTATAATGGAAAATTCATTGACGGTGGTATTATGTATGGAGATGCTGGTTTACCTTGTGAACTTGGTAGCGGTAGTGGAAATAATAGTCTTGCTGGTGCAACTGCAGGTGGTGGTATTATTGGTAAGTTTTCAATATGTTGAATTTTTGGTTTTTACTTGTCCATTTTAAACATAAAACTGATGCATTTAGCTATTTGGTCCATTGTTTTGAACTTGTGTTGCTTATCATTTTAATCCTCTTTTTGTTGAGATTTGAACACTGTCTTTTCTCATCATTTCTACTGATCCTGCATTTACTGAGAGGGAGGACGACTTAATCATGTAGCCACTGGTAGTTTTGTGTTCTTGTGATGCTATTTAGCCTTAATATGTCGATTTCATTATTCTTTTACTAAATTATATCCTTTTCTTCTTCTTCTGATGAGTGGCAATTATACAATACGATCTCCTTTTTCTTGGATAGTGATCGGTTCATTGGAGCATTCATTGTCAAGTTTGTCTATCGAGGGTTCACTTAAGGCTGATGGGGAAAGCTTTGGAGAAGATTTGACGAAGCAAAATCATAGGTCCATCTCGAAAATAGGACCTGGAGGTGGGTCTGGTGGGACAATTCTTTTATTTGTCAATACCCTGGCACTTGGTAATTCTTCTACCATTTCAACTGTTGGAGGACATGGCAGTCCCAATGGTGGCGGTGGTGGAGGTGGCGGAAGGGTTCACTTTCACTGGTCAGAAATTCCCATCGGAGATGCATATTTGCCAATTGCAAGGGTAAAAGGAAGCATTCTTACTGGGTACACTCCTTTTCTTGTGAATGATTTCGTTGTCTGTTATTTCATGAAGGTTTGCACAATCTGTTAAGTAGTGTCATTTGCTGAATTTTCCCACCATTTTATGGGAGTAAATTGCTTAATTAAAAATGTTATGAAGAACTTGAAGATCTGGACTGCTTGTAATTTCTAATGGCATGTTCTAAGCCATTGGAATTTTTATTTTATACATTGGAAGAATCCGTTTTGTTAAGCAGTCAACCCTAGCATTTGTTACATAACATTCAGGACCTGATATTTCATGAATTACTTCTCATGAAGGGGAAGACCAGGCATTTCTGTATTTCATAAACCAAATCTTTCTTTTGACCCCGTTATTAGTAAAATTATTATTTTGTTCACTCTTTTTTTTTTTTTTTTGGGGTAAGAAATCAGTTTGTTTAAGCTTTCTTTCTGCTCTCCATGGCAGTGGTGGATATGGTAGAGGTCATGGTCGTGCTGGGCAAAATGGGACAGTTACTGGAAAGGCCTGTCCCGAAGGGCTTTACGGTATCTTCTGTGAGGTAGCGTTGGAATTAATCATATCCGATATTGTCTTATTGAGTCACTGAATACCTGAATCGAAAAATATTGATTATGGCATATTTTCAGAAATGTAGTTGCGATCAATTTTCTGTGGTCAATTGCATAATCAAAAAGTTCTTTTCTGATTTCCTTCTTTGATTATGTTAAATTGAAAGGATGTTATTGGGAGTTAATTTCTCTGTTAGCTTATGTTTAGTTTTCTTTTTGTTTTTTCTGTTTTGCTTCTTTGTCTTTTTCTTTGGAGGATTTCTCATCCTCTTCCTTTGTATTTGATTCTCTTCTTAATCAATTTCCCCCCCCCCCTCCCCCCATTTTTAGTCATCCTCCTCCAAGATATACCTAATGATCAACTATTTTATTTATAGACTTTGGATCTGTATCTTTGGTCCTTTTTATTTTTAAATTTTTTCTCTAAAATTTTTATTGGCTATCAAGTTGAGGATTTTTTATCTTTTTATTTTGGAAAGCTTTTTTCTTTAACCTCTGAACTAATTGCACTGCAGGAATACACCTATAAGAATGTCAGCGGATCTGATAGAGCCCTTTGTTTCGATTGCCCATTTTATGAGCTTCCCAACCGTGCTATGTATGTTACTGTTCGAGGTATTCCTGCTCCTAAGTTTTATCTTCTCTTCCCAGAAAGATGGCTCTATCCTTGCTGCATGCTTTATTTAAAATGTTCCTAGTTGATACCTACTACATCCTGAAGATTTTTTCTTTTGAACAGGTGGTGTTACTGAAACTCCTTGTCCGTATAAGTGCATTTCTGACAGATATCGCATGCCAAACTGTTATACAGCACTTGAAGAGTTGGTATATACTTTTGGTGGCCCATGGTGGTTTGGTTTTATTCTGTTAGGTATCCTCATCCTATTAGCTCTAGTGCTTAGTGTTGCACGGACGAAGTATGTTGGTGTGGATGAGGTACCAACCCTTGTGCCTGCTCGACATTGCTCTCCAATAGATCATTCCTTCCCGTTCCTGGAATCATTAAATGAGGTTCACTTTTCATTTGTCTTTGTGCTATTTTTTGCTTGTTTATATAAAATAGTTTCTAAACGAATGCGAATGTCTTCCCTCTACCATATTGTCTAATATTGTTAAAAAAGCGAATCATTTTTTTTTTCAGGTTCTAGAAACAAATAGAAACGAGGAATCCCAAAATCACGTGCATAGAATGTATTTTATGGGGCCTAATACTTTCAGTGAACCTTGGTATCTGCCTCATTCTCCTCCGCACCAAATAAAAGAAATTGTGTAAGCCTTCTTTTACTTTATGGTCACATGTAGTGTTTGGTTTCTTCAGGGGAAGCTTTGACTTTATGAATTAGGTTCTAGTTTCATGCGTTGCAGAAGGTCATGTGAACGAAAGTTGAGGACCTATTTGGTTTAGGTTTTCAAACCCCTCAAAAGAAATACTGCTAAAACTCGTTTGGCAGCCAAATTTTGGAACTGCCAAAAATAAGTTTCAGAACCACCCCTAATTTAATAAACTCGTAAACATTTTTTCATTCTTTTTTATCATCCCCAAGTAGAGGGTAATTGTTCTAAAATCAAGTATTTACCTTATATGGCAGGTATGAAGATGCATTCATTAGATTTGTGGATGAGATTAATGGTTTAGCGGCTTACCAGTGGTGGGAAGGATCAATCTACAGCATTCTTTCAGTCCTTGCATATCCGCTTGCGTGGTTATGGCTACAGCGATGTCGGAAAAATAAATTGCAGCAGCTTCGCGAATATGTTCGATCAGAATATGATCACGCTTGCTTGCGTTCATGTCGTTCCCGTGCTCTCTATGAAGGACTTAAGGTTTATTTCTTCATAAAACACACGAAGAACATATTTCCGTGCAATCTTCATTACCTTTTTGACTTTTTTCCCCTTATTTTTTCTTCTGAAGCCTGAAGGCATTATCTTTTTACTTAAAATAGGTTTTTTGGGTTTTAGTGATTTGATTTTGGTTCTGGAGTATCTATAACTCATAAGATATGTGCAGATACTCACACTCTATGAGGATGTAAACCAGCACAAATATGCATGTGTGCATGACATGCATGTATAGGTGCATTCTTATATGCATGAGTTTGTTGCGTGGATGTCTGCAGCTTTCTCCAAGTATCTCATATGCAATTTTGATAGATGTTTTAAAAAACCGTCTTATCTTGGTCCCTGGTTTCCTTCGGGTGGATTCTCTTCAACTACGTTTTCAAGTTGAAGTACATTGGTTTGAGGGTGTTTATACAAGTGGAACTTTTATTACTGAAGCCAGTATATGAGTTCATTTTCTGTTTGGTGTTGGAACAGTAAAAGGAGTTTAAAATTATTCTGACCTGAGCTTGCCAGAACAGTTGTAGCAGTTATTTCTTTGCAAAATCTCTCATGGTTGCCTATAGCTGCCATATGTAGAAGCCTCCCAGAGATTTTGTTGCTATTTGGGAAAAATATTGGACGTGACTTGAAAAATTGTTTTATTAATTTCTTCAACACTTTCTCCTTTATGTTTTTGAGTTGGCAAACAAAAGAGTTTAAAATATTTTGATTTAATCCATTCTTTATGTTCTACTTCTCTAAGCATGACATTAGATCTTCTGAAGAACTCTAGATTATCTGGAGCAGGAAGTTATTTTTTCACTTCCTCTAATTTTAATTGTTGCTTAACCTGAGATTGGAAAATTTCCTCCCAAGTATAATATTGACAATTTTTCATGCATATGGGATGCGATGTGGTGTTGTTGGTAGAGGTTGACATTTTAATATCCTTGCACTCAATGTTAGATGGTTAACTTACAAAATAGTGTGATTTTTCATACTGCAGGTAGCTGCAACTTCTGATCTAATGCTTGCATATGTGGACTTTTTCCTTGGCGGAGATGAAAAAAGAGCTGATCTTCCTACACGTCTTCATCAACGTTTTCCAATGTCTATAGTTTTTGGTGGAGATGGAAGTTACATGGCTCCCTTTTTCCTCCATAGCGATAACATTCTTACTAGCCTCATGAGTCAGGTTTGCCACCTGTTAATCTTTTAAGGTCATAGTCTATGTTAATTTCTCTCTCGTGTTTGTCTTAGAATGAAGTTTCGTTGACTGTATATGGTTTCGTTGACTTTTCAGTCTATTCCACCTACAATATGGTATCGGCTTGTGGCTGGTCTAAATGCTCAACTGCGCTTAGTACGTCGTGGACACTTAAAAATCACTTTTAGTCATGTTGTCACCTGGCTTGGAACACATGCAAACCCTACCTTAAGGACATATGGTGTACACGTTGATCTTGCTTGGTTTCAATCTACAGCTTTTGGATATTGCCAGTTTGGACTTGTGGTCTGTGCTGCCCAGAATGAAAACATGCTACCATCACTAGAAAGTCCGAATATCTCACTGCTTACTGGGCAGGAATCATGGTAAAAATCTTCTCATGGTTTTCTTTCGTTGAGTTTTCTATTCTTGGGCTTACTCTTCTTTCTGCCATTCAGTATGCTAGGCCTTGATAGGGTTGATCAACTGGACCATATGAAAACCAGTGAACATCTAACAACACATAAAAGGTTATTCGGAGGGCTTTTACATTCCCAGAACTTACGAACGCTGAAAGAAAAGAAGACTATTTGTTATCCCCTTTCTTTCATAGTTTATAACACAAAACCTGTTGGACATCAGGTACTTAACAATCCGGGTAACTAAATGTACTAATCATTTCCCTAGGCTAAAAGGTCAGGTTATGGTTCTTGGACACTATTCTGACTATCTCCCTCTATTTTTTTTTTTCCCAGGATCTTGTTGGTTTGCTCATTTCTATTCTGCTGCTAGCAGATGTTAGCTTAGTCTCCCTCTCTTTTCTGCAACAGTATTCTATTTCTCTGCTCAACTTCTTTCTAGTGCTCTTTATATTTCCTCTTGGCCTTCTATTTCCCTTCCCTGCTGGAATCAGTGCTTTGTTTAGTCAAGGACCTAGACGATCAGCTGGTCTTGCACGTGTGTATGCTCTGTGGAATATCACATCCTTAATTAATGTTGTACGTTGTTCTCAACTCAAAGAGCTCTAGAATTCTCATAACTTACTGTAAATTATATAAATGTGCGTGCCAAGTACTTCGTTTTGTGGATAATTTGGTCGAGAAATTTGTCTGTAAGTACTTGCATTTCTAAAGTGGCTTGATGCTAAGTAATGCTGAAGTTGATGGGAAATCATGGCTAAGTAGGACTTCTTGCTGTTACTGGCATTCAAAGTTTATACTGTCAAATAAGCTCTTCTTGGAAATCTTGATGCTTTCCGACTGGTTTTGGCTATTAATCCAATGTTCTCTCTTTTCTGCAGGTAGTTGCTTTTCTATGTGGATTACTTCATTATAAAACCCACTCAAGTAAAAAGCACTCTGACTTTCCGTCCTGGAATTTTAGCATGTAAGTAGCCTTAAGCGTATCATTCATGGATTGGTCAGCTAACCATGTCCAAGCGTGATTGTGGTTCGAATACAATGCACCATTTGCATATGATTCTATTTGCTCCCAAAGTGTTTGAACTTATCTACGTTTGTGGTTTGATTGGGAATGCAGGGACGAAAGTGAATGGTGGGTGCTTCCTTCTGGATTGGCAGTATGTAAACTTATCCAAGCACAGCTTATCGACCGCCATGTAGCTAACCAGGAAATTCAGGACCCTTCTTTGTATAGCAATGACTCTGATGTGTTCTGGCAGTCATGAAAGCATTCATTGACGATGTACAGCCCCAAGTTAGTCATCCATTCTTTTGTTAAGTTTGTCCATATTATTCTTTCTTACTTGTGTTGAGAAAGCAGGTTAGTTATGGATACTACAGATAAAAAAGTCATTAAATCCTATTTAACTCCTGTTAAAGTTTGAGCCGGTTATACCTTGTATGTTAAGTAGCTTGTATACGATTAAAATTCCGAGTAATCTAAGAAAACTTCTATTTGAATGTGTTTTTTTTTTTGGGTATTTCCTTTTATTTTCTTAACCAACCTCCAAATTTTTTGTGAGGTTAGACAACTAACTAAATGGGATAATTTGGAGTTTTGTGGACAATCTTGGGTCTTTGGCGGCTATTACGCACTCACCTTTCAAGATGCAGCGATGCCATTTCATTTTTCCCCTTGAAACATACCAGAAACTGGTCCTTTTTGTATATATAATAGAAACGGGTCAAATTATTATGTTAATTGACGGCCTTATTTTTGTTGGAAATTTTAATTGAAAATTTTTCACTTTTTTTTTTTTTGGAATAGTACGCATTTACTTTACGATAGAAACAACTTGATACATTTACTTGTCAGAGGAAATGTAACACCTTTGCCATTGATTACCCATTGGTGCCAATGTAACGTAGAAGCGTCACCGGCCGACACGCAGTTGATTTGGTCAAGAAATAATGCTTTTCGATAAAGGTGGGTTGAAAATAAATGGTTTGAAATGAAATCTTTTATCTGTTAAGATTCAAAATCGTATTGAAATCTTCTACCAAAAAAAAAAAAAAAAAAAATCACATTGAAATTGGTGAGGGATACGTCCTTTTAGAACAATGTTAAAGAGAATTTTCAATATTCCATTCTGTAAGGGGAAAAACACGAACTCTTTTTGACTAATTTATTTCAAATGGGGAATTATCTTTCTTCCCTTTGGTAAGCCAAATCGGGGGTTAACACCTAGCTTATTTTTAATATTCTGCTAACGCTCCATTTTAAAAAGTTGACCATGATTGGAATTTGAAAATATAGAAATGAAAAATATTCTTTTAACTTAATAAAAAAAAGTTTATTAAGAAAGCTCCAAGAGCAACAAGTTCAGGAACCATCCCAGATACATGAAAACCACAAAACTTGGACTGAAAAGCCCATTTGCACAACTCATTAGCGACAGAATTACATGACCTGGGAATCCAAGAAGAGACGGACACAAAGGTGCCTTGCAAGGCCTTGATCTGCAGAAAAGAAGGCGGCAAAGACCAATCTGGACAATCATCATTGAAGCGAAGGGCGTCATAAAAACAGTTATAACGAAGGAGTTGTTTGAGAAGTGTATTTTGAGATCATAATTTTAATTTTTCTACGGTATTTTTTTTTACAAAGAATTTGAATAAAAAAATTTTTATTAATGTTTTTCATAAAAAATTTAAATATAAATAAAAATTAATGACTTAAACATATGAATGAAATGAACTCTAAATTAATGCGTGAAGTTAGAATCACCAAATTGATTATCAATTTATCATGGGAGTCCAATACCAACATCTTGGAAGTTTTGCTGATAAATGTCTATTTTCCTTCAGTAGCGAATTCTTTTTTTCTCTCTTTTACAGTCAAATAGTTTTTAACAAGTGATGAGGTCATTATCATTTTATTTAAATGTAAAAAAATTCAATAATTTTGTTTTTTAAGGAATAATTTTGTTACAATATAATTGGTGAATAAGATTTAAGTTTTTTTTTTTTTTTTTTTTTTTTTTTGGGAAGAACTGAGTTAGTTATGGATATTTGTTCTTTTAATCCTTGAAAAATAATATATTTTGTTTTTGAGAAAATATATAGATATTGTTCAACCAATTAAATATAAACAACTATATTGCCAAATCTTCTTCCCCTCTCTTTATACATAAACTGAACTGAAACAAACAAACAAATAAATGCTTACTTGATTGATTTGGCCCAAAAAAAAAAAAAAAACAAACAAACAAAAAAACAAAACAAAACAAAACAAAAACTTATGCTCCATTTGTATCAAGAGTTTTGATCTGGTTCTGGATCATAGTTATTGATTCGTTACAGTATTTTTTTCTAATAAAAAAATTAAATTTAAAAAATAAGAATCATAAACCATGATTCTGAGTCTATGAACCAAACGTCACCTTAAATTGTATAAACGACAACAATTAGTAGGTAACAATCATAAAATACTTAAGATGAATAGTACTCGGTCTCACTTAAATTACTCTCTTTAGTCCCTTAAAAAAAAATACAATCTTTTGAGCAAAGAAGAAGAGCGTGACACAAACTTTTCCTTTAAAATAATCGAATGCAACAATCCATCTCATAGTTTTATACATAATAAAATATAGGATATATATCTTTTTAAATAGAATATTAGCAATTATAGACCGTTCTTAGTGCGTCACATGTGGAAATATACAATACATCATTTATTGCGTAAAAAGTAGGAAACTTATTCCCACCAATCACATTATACATACAATTTGGTCGGCAATTCGTACTAGATACCAACTGCCATAAAATGTTATTATGTTCGAATTCATCACCAGTGGCAAAACAAAACTGAAAAATGACTTCTTGTTGGAAACTTTGACAACTTTCCTGTTATAGTATTTTATGGGCGGGCTCTGTATAATCGGAGTTGCTCCAACGAACAGCCTTCAAAGCAGCAAAAATCTCTCTCTCTCTCTCTCTCTAAACATATTCATGGGGAAGCAAAGCTTGGAATCTCCACTCTTGCAAAGTAATGGATTAGCCAACCAAGAGAAGAGCTGGAAAAGAGCTCTCTGGCTTATCTTTGCCATCACCACGATCATAAGTTAGTTGAATTTCCTTCTTTTCTTTTTTCATCTCTCAGTTTGATATTTCAGTTTTTTTTTTTTTTAAACTCTAATGAAGATATCAATTAAGACTGGTTTGAGATTTAGAAGGAGCTATCGTTTTTAGTATTTCGGAATTTTATTAGAGTGACAAAGATGTAGAATTTGATTCCGGGTTCATGGGTTTTCTTATATGCCAATTAACAAGGTGAATACTTTGTTTTTTTTTTTTTTGTCCCAGCTGAATTTGGGTAGGGCAAAATTTTCAAGTTTAGTTCAATTCTTCAACCGTGATTTCATGAAGTAGAAGTTTTTCTTCTTTTTCCCTGATAATAATAATGGTCTGTGTAAAGAGACAATGAACTAGTAAGTAGTGGATATGCTACTGATTTGTCACGTTCTTAATATCAACCACTCATAGCGACAGCTTACTGCAAAAATATCTCTGATTGAATGAAATGCAACAGCCCAAAATAGGTTCTCTTACCTCATTTAATGTAATGCTAAATTAAAATGTTCATGCCAAATACTAAGTATTTGAATAGAAAGATTATTGTCTGATGCAATTTTTTTTTTATGCTAAATTTGGTAGATATTATATTTGATACTAAATTTGATATCAAGTATAACATATATCAAATTTTGATATTTGACTGCTGTTAGTTGATGTATTTACTTTTCTTTTAAAACATTATAATATTGTCATTTTCAAATTATTTTTATAATTAAAAGTTTACTAGTACAAATTCCGAAGGTTAGTGACTATTACAAGAGGTAGATGTAACATTTGAAATAACATTGTGTATTTGATCACAAAATAAAATAGCATATCCAATATGCTATTTTCTCATTTTTTGGTGCCAAATATAGTATAAATATTGGCATTTGCATTGTAGATGTTTTAGGATCTGCAGTTTTCACTAAAACAGTTTATGTGGTACGTTTTGCCAACTAATTATTATTCATGGCATGAGTTTTGTATCTTTTGTCAGTTGCTGGGCTTGTACTTGAACCCGGCATAAACATTTGGAGGCAGAGGGGAGGAGACAATAATCACTTTATTCAAGAAAATCATGCTGATATTGTGGAGTCAGAGCAGGCTGTTGTTGCAGCTGATAATGGCCGTTGTTCCGAGGTTGGAGCATCATTCCTTAGGCAGAATGGCCATGCTGTTGATGCTGCAGTAGCGACGGCATTGTGCCTCGGTGTCGTTAATTCGATGGCCAGTGGGATCGGTGGTGGCGGTTTCATGATTGTACGGTCTGCATCAACCTTGCAGACACAGGCTTATGACCTAAGGGAAACTGCTCCTTTGGCTGCTTCAGAGGTTTGGACCATTTCTTTTAGTTAAAATAGCACTTGTGTTTCAACCCCATTATTCAATGTGTTCAATATATGAAGACATTTGTTCTTGGCTTGAGATCTTTGAGAATGAACCCATCGAATGATTACGTTCACTTGAAAAATTTCGACTACTTTCAGTCTAAAGTGCTTAATAACAAGGCATTGACATTTTTGAATGTTTGTTAAAATATAAACTTCAAACAGAATATGTACCAGAACAATCCCGGAGCCAAGGTTTCTGGTGCTCTATCTATGGGGGTTCCCGGTGAGATAGCAGGCCTTTACGAAGCCTGGACGAGACATGGTCGTTTAGCGTGGAAGGCTCTATTCCAACCTGCTATAAAACTTGCTAAAGATGGATATGTAATTGCTCCTTATCTTGGAGGATACCTAAGGAAGAAAGAAGAGTTAATTATGAAAGACCCTGGATTAAGACAAGTGTTTGCGCCGAATGGGAAGTTGTTAAAGACAGGCGATACATGCTACAATGTGGAACTCGGCCGTAGTTTAGAGGAAATTGCAGCGTTGGGGCCACAAGCCTTCTATAATGGTACTGTGGGTGAGAAACTAATTAAGGATGTGAGAGAGGCAGGTGGGATTTTGACAATGGAGGATTTGAGGAACTACAAGGTCGATGTTATGGATGCAATGGCTGCTGATGTGATGGGCTACACTATATTGGGAATGCCTCCTCCTTCAAGTGGAACTCTGGGGCTTTCTCTGGTGTGTCGTTTTTTTCAACTCTTTTCTTTTTCTTTTTTTTTTTGGTATAAAATGGTCTTATCTTGCTACATATACTTGTGAAAGGAATGTAAAAACACATTTGAAGCTCCCGTTCTAACATTCTGAATTATGTAAACTCTTAAATAAAACAGGTCCTGAACATTTTTGAGAGCTATGGAAGTTCTGATGCTGCGAAGGGAAATCTCGGCGTGCATCGGCTGATTGAAGCATTGAAACACATGTTTGCCATCCGAATGAACTTGGGGGACCCCGATTTCGTGAACATAAGTAAATATGAAAATGCGATGCTTTCCCCTGATTTCGCACACCAGATTCGGGAAAGGATATTTGACAACACTACCTTCCCTCCAGAGTACTACATGAACAGGTACTATCCCTTTATCCTTGTAGACAGTAGTTTAAGTGTAATTTTGATCACTATCTCAAGGTTTTTTAGCTCATAAATGGCAGGTGGAGTCAGCTAAGAGATCATGGAACAAGCCATTTCTGCATTGTAGATAAAGATAGAAATGCTGTATCAATGACTAGTACTGTAAATTACCCTTTTGGAGGTGGTGTTCTCTCTCCATCCACTGGAATTGTGCTCAACAATGAAATGGATGACTTCTCAACACCCACAGAAATAACCCCAGACACTCTACCTCCTGCTCCTGCAAACTTTATCAGACCCAACAAGAGACCTTTGTCTTCCATGACCCCAATCATTGTCACAAAGGTACACAAGGGCCTACATTGATTTCCTATTGAATATTATATTCAGCCGATTTCTAAGCCAGTTTCTTGTGCTTGATTTATACAGGATAATCAGTTACTTGGGGTCCTTGGTGGTAGTGGTGGTATCAATATAATCCCAGCTGTTGTCCAGATTTTCCTTAATTATTTTGTCCTGGGGAAGGACCCGTTAGATGCAGTTCAGAGTCCAAGGGTCTATCACAAGGTTCCCAACTTGTTACAATCAGTGCATGAGTTTTACTATTATTATTATTATTGCAAACTCCAAATGGGCATTTGATTTTTGTGATAATTTCGTCGCAGTTGATACCGAACATAGTCTCCTATGAGAACTGGACTGTGATCGATGGCAACCACATTGAGCTGTCAGAAGGAACCAAGCTTTTCTTGCAAGAGAGGGGTCATCAACTAGAGGGCAAGGCAGGGGGTGCCATCACTCAGCTTATTGTCCAAAACTTTGAAAACCTAATTCATATGGGGAGGAAAAGTGGAAAACAGGCAAATATACAACCATTTTTGGGTACGCTCATTGCTGTTAGTGACCCCAGAAAGGATGGGAAGCCCGCAGCCTGCTGATTGCTCATTTTATTCATGGATTGGAAAACCAGGAAGAAGAATTGGTATTGGAAAATCACTGTAATGACGTTCCACATCAAGAGTTTATTTATTCTAATGTACATAATAATTCATTAGAGGTTTAGTGGCAGTTGGGGATATGCATTTACCAAGAATAAGATATAATAAGACAAAAGGTTTTAAATTCTGAGTCATTTATTCCACTTTCTTTTTGCTTCATGAATTTTGTTGATACTTCAATTTCGTCACTCTTGGAAACTGAACAACGGTTCGAAAATGGCCCAAAGAACTTCCAAACTGACACCTAAAACCGCATTTCATGTAACCAAACTCAAATTCTTTAAATATGATTTGAAATTACATTCTTCAACTTGATTGCACAACAAGAAACAGTACAAATTAACAAGCCCCACTGATAACCTCAAGTATTCAAGATGCCTTGTCCATCAGCTGTATTGGAGCCAGAATGTTACTCTTGCTTGTCTCCACAATGCACCCATTCATGACCATTTCCTCCAGCATGAAATGTGCCTTCTCTAAGTGGAACATGATGTCTAGCTCGCACTGCAAATTCATGCACACAAGTAATTTTAGAGAGAGATGATAGGTAACTCAGAAGAGAAATCTAGGCATTCTTCTTGAAACAGGACTTACCACATTGCCAAAATGTCGGTCCATGGTTTCAACTAACAGATGTATGAATTCCAAAATTGCAAGCTCATTCTGCAACGCAAAAGACAAGGAGTTTAATATTCTCGGAATCAAGTAGAGATCAAGTGTTCAAATATGGAACTAAGTAAGAAGCTTTTTATAGGTTCATCTCATAACCAAGTTCTATATGTTCCGAGAACAATACATTCTGTTCCTGTGAGACACAGGAAGATCAGCAGGAAGCTAATAGTCACTCAAAACACTGATTGCCACATTGCTAGAGTACATAGCCAAAAGAGGTGTCCCCTTTAAGACGTCACATTCAAATAAATTTCCAAGTAAAATTGGAATATGGGTTATGATTTATGAAAAATGAACCATATCATCATGATCTGTTTGTAAAGACAGGAATGTTTAAAACAGTAGGATAACTACTAACAACTCTCTTTAGAAGCTTCACTCGCTATATTTCCCCTCTTTTTGTCTCCAGATTTCTTTACCGCATTTCTCATACAATGATCTGTAATATGAAGTAAAGAAAGGCAACGGGAAAGTGTGTGTGAGAGAGAAAGAGGAGAAAAAGAATGCTCTAAGTGTCTATAACGTGTCTTAATGAGAGCTTGTCTTCAGGTGTCCATGCACATATGATCAAGGTCTTCTTAACGTCTAATGTTCTACCATTCTGAGTACTAGTCTTAAAGAAACAATATTGCCAGGATTCTTTTATTAGCACGCAGATGGATTGACTTACTTCATCATTGTCAACTCCAACAAGGAAAAACAATGACGCATATCGTCTGTACACAATCTTGTAGTTCCGGTGCTCAACAAAAGAACACTGTTTACAATGAAAAACCAAAGTCAGCAACAGAAACAAGAACAAATAAACAGATAGCAGAAGAACAAAACTTTACAGAAGAATCAATACATTAAACTAAGTGATTGCATAAATATGTTGTTACGAAAGAAACCACGTGGGTACACACGACCCAGACGACAACCGCGGATAAGCAAAGGAAAAATCAAAACAAAATATCACTAGTATTAAGAACTAAGAAACAGTTCCTCCTTCTGTGAATCTATATTACCAGGGATAGAACACCATTAATAGATATTTGGAAATTTGAATAATATATTTATCTATTAGGCTATGTTTTATCTTTAGCATTTAGTTAATTAGTTTTGATTTTAGTGTCATTTTTATCTGCTAAAATTGTTGAAATTAGGTTCAATTCATCTTGTTATTATTATTATTATTATTATTATTTTCCTCTCTATAGATAGCTTAATGATTGCATTTTCATTAGAGTTATGGTTGATGGATAAATAATTATATATTGAGATATCTGATTTTCCATCTCTTGAGTGTTCGTATTCTTTCTAAAATCTCTTTTTTTTTTTTCTTTTTTTTTTTTTAATTCCTCCTATGATTCAATTCGTTCTATTCTATCTCTTCTGTCTTGATTTTACCTTTCGTATATATTCAATCCTAAATACCAAACCAAAGAAGTCAAAAATTAGCACAATTCAGCAAGATCCCATTTTTCCTTTCCAAGAGAGAAGATCCAAATCAGCGTCCAGTTCTGTAAATTAACTTTTTTCTTTCAGTTCAAATTCCAAATCGAATTCAATTCGTAATCTGCAGAATTAAAACCTAAGATTGAATTTTGACTACGATCTCTTCATAGGAAGCTGATTCATACACATGCAAGTATAGATATATATATATATATAGAGAGAGAGAGAGAGAGAGGAGAGAAACCTGTTGTTCGGTGCGAGCGAGACATTTGCGGACGATTTCACCCTCAAGGGCTCGGCGTTCTTCGATAGTGAGATATTCGTAGTACTGAGCAAGACGGGTCTGGCCCTGTTTGTTCACCATCAATATGAATCTGATCCCCATCTTCTTCTTCTTCTTTTTCCACAACTCAGTCTCTCCGCAAACTACAGCCAAAAACCCAATATATATGTTTATATATATATATATATATGTTTATGTGTGTGTGTGTGTGTATATAAGGCTTCAAAGTTACAGTCTTAGAGAAGATAAAGATCTGTTGGGCGATCTCACAATCGCAAATGCTTTTACCAACACCAGAAATTTGTCTGCTGCTGCTTCATTTTTCAACAGTTTGAGACGGTCGTCTGTCGTCTCTAAGGTTTGTTGTCGTTTCTCACTTTATGTCGTTTTATATAGTTACCGTCTTTTTCCATCTCACTGTCGTTTTATGTGCAATGTGTTTGGCGTTTTCCATTTCGAGTTGTTTTCCGGGTTGTTGTCGTTTCTTGAGTAGCTGTTCTTTACTTTCACTTTTCTTTGTTGTTTCTTATGTTTTTTTCGTTTTCATGTTATTGTCGTTTATTATGTTGTCTGGCTGTCATCATTTAAATTTGATGTCATTTTCTCATTTCATTGTTGTTCTATGTTCTTTTCCATGTATTGTGTCGTTTATGAGGTTTTTTCCCTCACGTTTGATGTCGTTTTATATTCACTGTTTTTTATCCTCTGACGTTCTTAAGGTTATCGTCACTCTGTAAAAGATCTGGGCAAGAGTTCATTATTGGAAAAAAGAAAAAAAAAAAAAAAAAGGAGTTAAGCAAGTCTTTGTGCATTATTCATAGTTTAACGCGCATATATTTGCTTCTTGTTCAATTTAATTCAACTTTTCCACTTTCCTAGAGGATGGAATGGGGAGATATCCAGAGATCTCCATAACCAATTTTCGCCTCACTGGTATTAATATTAATAAAAATGCGTCAAGGTTAACGAGAAGGGAATGAGAATTTACTAGGACGTTGAAAAGTTTTTAAGTTGGAATACGAAATTGACAATTGACATTGAAAATTTGTGTAAACAATTTGATGGAAATACAAAACTTCCACACAAAAGCTTATACTTGATAATTATATTATAATTGTGCAACAAAGTTTAGCACAGACTTGCATTATATTGTTCTTTGTTCATTATGTTACAGCTTACAAAAACCATATATATATATATATATATATATATTAAAAAAAACTAATTATGCTTTCTGGAGGCATCTCGTGTAAATAAATACAAGCCCCAGAAAAAAAATAAACTACCAAATTACGGCAGGGTCAGAGAGCACATACAAGAACTATATAACTCGTACTACGCTATAGAGCAAATGACATCACAGAATAATCTGCAGAGCATTACAAAATACTGATCCCAATCATATGAAACTATTTTCTTTGTTCACCAGATTGTCGTCTAAACAACTTTCCTCATCCAACACTTGTTGTTGGGGCGGTTCTTCGTCTTTCTTGTCCTCAATAACGTCTTTGACACTCAAAAAGCTTGGCTGGTTTGTCGAAGATAAAAGCCTTGCCCACATTCTATCCGTTATCACAACTTTGTTCATCTTCTCCGTGATTTTCTGCGGATCAAAAAGTCGCCCATTGTTATAAGCTAAGCAAATTTTGTATAACACTTCAAAGAAAGGAGCATGGTAAGGGTTTTGACACAGTCAAGTTTTTTTTTTTTTTTTTTTTTTAATACAGTATGGAGCCTATGGCTACTAGCCTCCTACTTTACTAACAAGAAACGAAACCATCGGGATTTGAATCCTGATGGACCCACTTACGCACCCAACCACTCGAGCTAGCCTCAAGTGGCATTGACATTGTCCAAGTTGTTAAGGAGTGGTGAGACACTTACAAAGGTCCCAAATTTCACGTGCCTTGGTAATATTTCGAGAAAAATATTAAGAGGATGATGAGATATTCTAAGGCTAAAGTTGAAAGAGAGAACTCACATAAAATGGTATGTAAGATTGTCTTCCATTGACAAGCCCAACTGTAAAGCCAGTGTAACCTGCCATTGCTCCATGAACAGCACTTTGAGCAAGAAGTGTGCTGTACACGTTATCAGAGGCGTTGCTGGGAATCGCTCGGATCATGTAAGTAGGATCTGCAAACAGAAAGCGCAAAGCCTAATAATTATACCAGCCACCCCCACTTTTGGCATACACCATACATATTGCCAAAAAAAAAATTAATAAAGGTATGAACCAACCTATATATTTGAGGTTTATTGTCATTTTATTTTTCTTTGCAAAATGATCCTGCAAAAGAAAAATTTATCTTGAGAAAACAAGCACTATTTCTTGTTATCTGCTGACCTATGAAGTCAAATGGAGGTAATTGGATAAATATTACATTTAGATGGCTGCATAGACCAAAAAGAGAAGTGCTTAAACACATCCAGAACTCACGAGATGAAAGTGCACATATACACATAGAGAGGTGGATGGATATAGATAAATGCACGATCATTCAATTGGATATAAATTGAAAACGGACCTTGATTTGCTGGGAAATCCATAGCCCAACGTCTTTGAGAAGCTTGTTTCCCGAAGCATCCTCTTTCGTCATTGAGTGAATGCTCTCAGAAAGAAGCTCTTGGCCAGCACCTTCTGCTACGACAATAACCATGTGCCCATTTTCCTTGAGTCGTTTCTCTATGTATTCGAAAAGTCCCCCGGGGCCTTCAAGGTAAAAGGGTGATTCTGGAATTAAGCAACAATCGACATCTCGGCTTGCAAGAGTTGCATACATGGCAATAAACCCTGCATTGAAACAACTAGTTAGATTTGTAAGAGACAGGTAAACTTAACATGAAAATTAAAATATAATGGGTACTTCTAGCTATAAACTACACATAAGGTAGATCACATTTCTGAATGTAAATTCTAGGCACCAAATTCTAACTGCTTGAATGTAGAGTAACAACATTCAAAAACTTGTTTTGCAGTTGCACTTAGGCCTCATTATGTTTGGAAGAGTTCACAGCTAGCCGCAAAAAGGGAAAAGTAAAGAAATTTTTTTGTAACACCTAACCTTAACAAAATTATTTGGATTTTAGATTTCTAGAAAGCTGGTGCTGTTACATTCTTGAAGATCAGGTTGAAGGCTTACCACTGTAGCGACCCATCAACTTCACAAGACCAATGCAATTTTCAAAGCTTTCAGATTCAACGTGTGCTGCATTAATAGCACGTTGAGCCTCTTCAACAGCAGTATCAAAACCAAATGACTTGTCAATAATCTACAACAGCATGAAACAGCAGTCAAACACTAAACTGTAAATGAATGATACTTGGCACCAGCTAAGCAAGTGAATAAACATACGGGAATGTCATTATCAATGGTTTTGGGAATTCCGGCGACTGCAACTTTGAGACCCCGCCTTTTGACTTCCTGCAAAGAGAACAATCGTGGTTTGTTCAGAAAATAAATAAATATTTGCATAAGCTAATGGAACCAGTTCTCTCTGTTAAAAAATTTTCCAATTCATCACAATTCGGAAAGAAATTCGAAGCTCACAAAGCATTATGAGACCTCAAACAAGCCAAGAGGGAGAAAGGGGTTTAACATACTACAGCCACTCTAAAGATGTTGACACTTGCATTTTTAGAAATGTAATTACCTCAAAAATTACAGATGCACCCCTCTGAGTTCCATCTCCTCCAATTATGTAAACCTGAAAACAAAAGTGTTACACGTTTGATATGCATGCCATGGATGATCCAACTCCAAATATCACCGCAAATGCGTAAAGAAAACTCTAACCGGAAAAACTACTGAGTAAATACAAACTACGAACCTGATTTATTCCTCGATCTTGAATGCTGTCGACTATCTTGGAGGTGTCATGGCCTCCTCTTGATGTGCCAAGGATGGTTCCACCACGTTTATGAATATCATTCACCGACTTAGGAGTTAAAGAAATAGTATTTTTCGCATAGAAACCCCTGTATCCTCCCTACAAAGTTCAAAAATTATTCAAAGTTGGTTACCGAATAGCTAATATAAGGTATACCCCGTTTGGATCGCGGGTTCAAAATGTGACAATGGGGTTCAAAAATAAATAATGGAAAGATTGAAAAGTTATGACAAATGACTTACATCGATACCGAGAACTCTCTTTACACCATACATGTAATTCAAGCCACACACGATTTCTCTAATAACCGTGTTAAGCCCGGGACAAAGACCCCCACATGTGACAATACAAGCATGAACTTCATCGGATTCAAAATAAACCTGAAGAACCAAATCAACACCATATTAGTCAGTCCTAATTGCAATGAGTTTAATTAATCAAATTTCTTTCCTCAAACAAAGAAAAAAAAAAACCTTTTGACGGGGTCCCGCACGCCGAAAATGTACCCCTCTTGGAGTGTTTTTGTGAACAACAATCTACACAAACAAAAAAATAAAGTTGGTTGAGAATACTGCCCAAAATAGAAAGTATATAAAAAAAAGAAAAAAAAAACTCTTAGTGCAAACGCAGGCCTTTTAGAACTTTTCAACTCTCAAAACGAAGTTTGCAAAAAAAAAAAAAAAAATTGCCATCCTTAACAAAATGTGATGTTTAAATAAACAGATTCTTATAACTTTGGTTGAAAAAAAGAGATTCTTTTTCCAAGAAATAAACAAATATAAAAGCTAAGTTCAGAAGTTGTAGAACGCTGACTTTCTGAGTAATAGTATCGTCGTCATCCACAAAGTATTGCCTGCAATAATGAAAAAATCAATTTGACCGAAATTGTCAATCAAACAACAACCTTGAACATGAAAATTATTCAAATTTAAATAAAGTAAACAAAAAAAATCAACATTAAAAAAAAAATGAAGAAGATTAACATACTTCACAACAGAATACGCAGGATTATCTTGCAATGGATTAGGATAAGTCTGTAAAAAAACAGCAAATTTAAGTAAAAAACTTGCACATCAGTTATCGAACAATAATTTGTTTAATTACACAAAAGTAAATTTGCTGAGGTCAGCAATTCATCTTAGCTGAAAATTTACTTGCTTTTTTTTTTCTCCCTTTGGAAAATCCAAAGTAAAAACAATTAGCAAAACTAATTAATCTCAATAATGAATAAAACGACGACTTACAGGAAGATCGGGGATATAATCGGATAAATGAGGAACATCCTCGAGCACATAACCAGCTTCACCTGTCACGATCTTGGCCCCCATGATGATCAGAACTCGATGATATATCCGACGAGCTTATGGAAGAAGCAGATTCCGATTCGGAGAAGAGAGTTGTGAATTGAATTCGGAACAGAGAAGAGGAGAGAATTAAGAGCGCCTATATGACAACGAAGGTGGAGTAAACGACAAGGAGTTTTGAATTGTTCGTCGGCGTATTAGAGCGCCATATTTATAGGAGGGCGGGCTTGACCGTGCGACCGGGAAGAATCAAAAGTAAATACAACGATACGCAAATGGTTGAACTATAAGCAGGTGGCTGACGCTGAAGCTTGTTTTCGTTTTTCTCTCTCTTTGATTTTTTTGGGTTTGACGAATGGATTGAAAAAGTGGTTCACGCTTTACGATGTGTTAGAGGAGAGAGAAGGGACGTTTTTGGAAATTTATTAGTAATTAATGATTCTAGAATTTTATTGGTTCTAGAGTTTTTTTTTTTTTCTTTTTCAAATTCTCCTTTAGAATTTGACTTACTGATAGTTACTCGGAGCTTCTAAAAATTATCGGTGTTTTTTATTTTTAACTCTTAAATTATATTAAAAATTATTATTTTTATATATTTTATTTAATTATGTGGATTTAATTAAATTTAATGATTAAAAATAATTAATATTATTAGTGGGCTAATTCTACCAAAAAATCTCTATAATTACTGTTGATTTAATTGTTGGATCATGTTTTTAACTGTCTAATCTAATTTGTTATTATAATATTTACAAAAAAAAAAAAAAAACTATGATGTTCTGTAGCTCTGTGCAAGAAATATATAATTTTTATTTTGGGAAAATTTATAGTCGCCTTGACGAACAAGAAAAGATACCGTTGAGCAATGACTAGAGAAAACAAGCGGAAAAACTAAAATAAAATAAAATAAAATAAACGTGGTTTGGTAGGTCCGGAACGACAGTTATATTCAAGAATGGCTGGCTTTGTTTTGCTTGGGAATCATTGATTGATGCTACCGCCAGATTACGTTGTCCTAATGGATGCTACCGCCAGATTACGTTGTCCTAATGGATTCTATTCATCTTCTGCCCATAGCCCATTTGATTTATAAATTAGAATTATGAGATTAAAATTATTTTTAATTTACGTGTATTTTTATAAGAAAAAATACTGTAACGATTCATGAATTATTCAAATCAGAGAATAAATCATCCAACCAAACGAGTTATATTTTGGAAAACAAATTCGTTTTTAATTGATCAAGTTTGTATTATATAAGTTTGACATTTGACATTGTTTGGTAATTTTTTAAGAAGACTGATGCTACAGAACATAATTATCTCTCTCTTTTTTTTTTTTTTTATTAAGGAGACACTAATCCATGTGACTATGAGTTTATGATAAAATGACATTGTTTTTTGATGAGTTCAATATTATATATTATAAGGATTAAGGGGTTTGTCTTGGTCGGCTAAAGGTACTTATTAGTTATTAATTTTTTAAAAAATAAAAAGAAAAAGAAAAATATGTCTATTAATGTGTTAAATAAAACAGATTTGGTAGGAGAGTTTGGAATCTGGGAAAGAATATTCAGCCGAATTAGCATCTCAAATACGCTAATAATTTGTTTTACGTCATCGGCTTCTTACCCAAAACTGCGTGTTAATGGCCTCCATTATTGCCGGTTTGTAGCATAATTGCATCATGCCTTTTAGATTAGCATCACTCCGTCATTGGCGTGATCCTCGGGTTAAATATAAGTACGATACATTATCTATACTAATTTAGTTGATTTTTTATTCTTATTTGCGCTCACAAATTTTACACTCATTTAATTTTATTTCAATTGTTTAAAAAAAGGTAATGATAAGAGACCAACTCAAATCTCAATTCTTATATATTAACTGATATTGTATGTGAGTTGTTATCTTTTTATTAGTTGATTTAATCTTTTATCATTAATTAACATAATAATATTTTAAACACTCACCGGTGTGAAAACGATAATTCATTTGTCATATCAATTGGTTAGCCAACGTTAATATTTAAGTTAGTGTCTATACCATTATTTTTTTAAAAATTCTCGATTCATTATTTTAAATTTTAAATTAGTCTTGATTCACCCTTTAGTTATTTTTGATAAAAATAAATAGAAATATAACCCAAAAGGCTACTATTTAAACTCAAATTTTACCAAATAAATAAAATCCAATCACCTATATGTTAGTACATACATATGCAACGCTATAAGCTATCAATAAAATTCAATAGCACTTATCACTAATGATCATAAATAGACTTGCCGTGAAGAGTTATACTTTCATTAAGTTGTAGAGCCAATAAAAATCTAATTTCTTATATTCCCTTTCCTTATCGTTATTTTCAAATTTCAAATGAACATTTCGCATTCGTTAGAAGTTAGAACTGTTGATAACTTGGAGGTTTTTTTTTGTTTTTTTTTTTTTTTTGGAAACTTGAATAATTTTCATATTGCGACATAAAGAAATAAATATTCAATGGTTGATAATGTTGTATAATAATAGATGAAGAGTGGCATGTGACGATGTTGGCAATGCGGGTGATGGCATACGGGTTGACTTAAAAATCAATGCGGCTACATTGTCTAGCTAATAACTGCCTAGTTAATGAGAAAATTACCAAATTACCATGGAGTGGTTGGGGCATTCATTTCGCTTTCGAATCACAATTCAAGTTTTTACGGTGTTTTTTTCAATAAAAATTTACATTTAATTTTTTCTATTACAATATTTTCTCTCACATGAATTTAATTTTTAACTAAAATTCTCAATTCAAATGAACGAGACATTATTTTGTTTTAAAAAATGTGAAAACTCTAATTGTGAATCTCAAAACTACAAGTTGATGGAATTTGAATAATGTTATAGTCTTATAAGAAATCGGTGGTATTAAGCACCACTAGATAATAAAAGAGGGATCTTGAATTATGAGATTTACAGATGAGACTCACTTTTTGTTAGTCAAGATCTGTTGTCTCTATTTTCATATCTTACCATTCATTATTTGATACATCATCTAAATTTAAGAATTTAACCACATAAATAGAAACAAAGTGCTAAAAATATTTAAATAAATCATGAGATGTCAAAACTCAATTAGAGAGATAGTCACTGAGATAAAAAAATGAGACAATAAGATGTTTGGTAAGGGGATTCGTACCCTGATTCGAATCATGATTTATGATTCGCTACAATATTTTATCTCACAAAAAATACACGTAAATCAAAAATGATTTTAATTCATGAACCAAACGTTAAATATTAATTTAACAGTGCATAACATTGATAGTGTTTTAAGCATTATCAATGTAATTAAGGATGAATTTTGTAAATTACACGTGTACGTAGTCTTTTTCCACGGTGGCAGCCGATTCACATGGATTGCGTGTGGATAGTTAAAAAGAAAAGAAAATAAAACGTGGGTAGTTGTTGGCAAAAGAAGCAGGAAACAACGCGAGCTTCGTGGAAGCGGATGATAATGACGTTGGCAAGTTTGTCTATAAACATTGTGCCTCTTATAGAATTCAGCTCCACCGCCCTGCCACTTGTATGGCCACCGTTTCTCAATAGAAAATTGATATTTACAAACTTTTGAAAAATAGTCCTCTAATTTTATACCGAATTGTATTTTGATAATCCCATTCATTTTGTGAATTTAAATTGAGATATAATATTTTTTAAAATTTTTTAATTATAATAAAAAAAATTAAATATGACATGTTTTAAAAACTTTTAACTATTAGAATCTAAAATTTAAAACTCAAGATAAACATCCTAAAATTTACTTTAGTCTTATTGTCGTTTGACAAAACAAGTAAATCTTAAAATATTTGTTAAAGAAAAAGGATGGAAAACAACACGTGAGTTGTGCGCGGTGAGTAGTTGGATTTTTGAAGTGGATTGCGAATGCTCTAGAAACGCAACAACATATTTGACCATACGTTTAGAAGGAATACCAGACGAAACATACCACCAAGAACATAATATAATAACCATAAGAAACCTTTTTTAAAGTTAATTGATCTTTCTGCCCTAAAAAGCCACTTAATTATACATTTTGGCATCCTTTAAATGTTGCATGAGCTTAATGTCTATTTTAGAACATTTTAAATGTTAGACTAAAGTAAGAGTTGGTGTAAATTTTGAGGAACGTTTTCAATCATTACTTTTGAATGCATATATTTATATATATATATTTTTTAAAATCATTAGTGGCAGAATCAGAATTTTTTTTTTTTTTTTTGAGAATTAATCCAAAATTTTGAGCTAAAGTAATAATTCAATTATTTCTTTATACTATTTATCATTAAAGATTTTAAGAAGAAAAGAAAATAAAGAAATACATAAAAAAATTATTGAGAAAGAAGTTAAAGGAGGTAGTTGTGTCCTCTGGGCCAAAGTGATTTAGCCACTGTTAAATATTGGATGAAAAAAATAATAATAATTTGAGCCGTTGAAAAAAAAAAAAAAACACCATGCCAACTATCATCTTAATATTATAATATTAACATATATAAAAGAACCAAAGTGTTTTCCATCCACCCTCCTCCACTTGACAAGTATTAATGTTTTTCTCTTTTTACTTTTTCTAATTAATTTTTTTTATCTTTTTTCTTTCC